GCGGGAAGACTGGTCCCAGCTCGACTTGGACCACAGGTACCTGAGACCACCTGAGCCTCCATCTTTCCAGTTTCCAGGTTGGAACAACAGAAGCAGAGAGGGTGCCCAGCTACGTGGTGGTACATGGGTGGTTAGGGCCAGCCGTGGAGACTGTGTCCAGTGCCCTGCGTGGGTCGGTCAGGCAGGTTCTACGGGACTCAAGCTGTCTCTCTAGGTGGCCACTGGCTTCCTACATGGGACAGAATGTGTCCCCAGATGCTGACATCCTAGAAGGGCGGGGGCCCTGAAGCTAGCTGGGGACATCCTTGACGTGGCAGGGATATGTCGATGCAGGCTGCTGTCGTCACTCTCGGCGTACATGTGGCCGGTGTCAGAAGAAGGTGTGGACGGCACAGGAGTCAGACTGTCTTCACTCTCCTTTAAATCAACACCCGAGTTGAAGTGACTGAGCTGAAATTCACATTCCATCGCGCTCAGTGTTCCACAAGGGTGGAATTCAGCGTCTTCTAATACATTCACAGTGCTGTGCAGCCATCACCACTGTCTGAGTCCAGAATATCTTCTGCCCCAAAGGAAGCCCTGCATCGAACATGCAGTCACTCCCCATTCACCCTCCACAGTCCTTGGCAACCACTAAGCTGCTTTTGGTCTCTGTGGATTTGCCTGTGCTGGGTATCTCTGGCAGAGAAACAGAACCAATGGGATACATGAGTATCTATTGTGAGAGAGGGAGGGGTGGAGGGAAGAGGGGAGAGAGAAAGAGAAGACAGTGGAAGGAGGCAATTGTTTTTAGGAACCGCTCCACCCGCTTGCAGGTGCTGGCAGGCCTCAAATCTGTGGGGTGGGGTGGCAGGTTAGAAATTCCGCTGAGGCTTGTGTGGCAGCCTCGAAGCTGAATTCCACAAGGCTGTAGGCTGGAAACCCAGGCAGGGTGTCTGTGTTGTCAGCCTCCAGGGAGATTGTCTTCTACTTTGGGGATCCTCGATCTTTGCTCCTAAGGCCTTCATCTGACTGGGTGAGGCCCACCCACGTTATGGTGGATATTCTGCTTTACTCAAAGTCCTCTGATTAAGAACTTAATTGCATTGAAAAATACCTTTGGAGCAACATCTAGATTGGTGTCTGACCAATGAGCTGAACACCAGAGCTTAGCTGCGCTGGCACATGGAATCACCCATCCCTCGATGTTCCACACAGAAGGAACTGTGAGATCCTTGGCTTTTTGTGTCTGGCTTCTCTCACTTGGCACACTTATTTCAGGGTTCACCCACAGGGCAACTGTGTCATCACTTTGTTCCTTTGTTTAAATAACTTTATTGAGATAGTTTACATACTGTGCCATTTGCTTATTTAATGTATGCAATTCAGTAATTTTTAGTTTATTCACAGATATGTCAACCATCACCATAGTCAATTTTAGAATATTTATATCACCTCGAAAAGAAACTTCATACCCGTTTAGCGATTATCCCTTTGTACTGCCCAGGCTCACCTCTCCCTGCACACTCTCCCATCACTAGGCAACCAGTAGTGTACTTCCTGTCCCTGTAAGTTTCCCTGTCCTGGACATTTCCTGTGAATAGAATCAGATAATGCGGAGTCTTCTGTGACTGGCTTCTTTAACTTACCACAACGCTTTCACAGTTCATCCATGTTGTGGTGTGTTTCAGCACTTCCTTTTCCTGGCTAAATAATACTCCACTGTGCGGTTTCACTTCATTTGGTTTATCTCTCCTTCAGTTGATAGGCATTTGGGTTGTTCCTACCTGTGGTCATTATGGATAATGCTGTTGTCAACATGTGTGTAAAGATGTTTATGTGGACATAGGTCTTTAATTCTCTTGGGTGTATGCCTAGTGGTGGAGTGGTTGGGTCCTGCGTTCACTCGGCAAGCATTTGAAGAGCTGTCAGGCTCTTCCCAAAGTGGCTGCACCATTTTACATCCCCACCAGCGATGGGTGAGGTTCTGCTCTCTCCACTCCTCACCAGCACTTGATGTTTCCTGGTTTCTTGATTCTGGCCCTCTGAGTGGGTGTGTGGGGCACCTCACCGTCATTTGACTTGCACTTCCTTGATGGCTCGTGAGTCTGAGCATCTTTTCACGTGTGTGTTGGTCATCTGTTAGGGCAGCTTCCTTGGAGAAATGTCCCTTCAAATAATTTTCCCAGTTAACAGTTGGGTTGTCTGTTGACTACTGAGTTGTAATCGCATTGTGTATACTCAGAACACAAGGATCTTATCAGTCATATGATTTGCAAATACTTCCCCCTCTTCTGCAGCTTGTCTTTTCACTCTCTTGGGAGTGTCCTTTCGAGAACAAACGTTTTTAACTTTGATGAAGTCCAGAGTCTCTGGTTCTTCATTTGGTCTCATGCCCTGCCTGTCATATGTAAGAATCCTTTGCAAGATCCAGGATCCTGAAGAGTTACCTTTATGATTCCTTCTAAGGTTTTACAGTGTTAGCTCTTATGATTAGGACGTTGGTCCACTGGAGTTAGTTTTCGTATCTGGTCTGAGGTAAAGTCCAGTTTTGCTTTCTCCACATGGCTGTAAAGTTGTCCCCACATCATTCCTTGAAAATAGATTCTTCCCACTGGTTGCTCCTGGCGCCCTGGTGAGAGCTCAGTTGACCACAGAGGGGCCGTGTCATCCCTGGGCTCTCAGTCCTCCTCCACTGGTCTGTCCGTCTGTCCTGGTGCCAGGACCACACTGTCTTGATTAATGTGGCTTTGTAGTAAGTTTTGAAATCGGGAGGTGTGAGTCCTCCTACTTTGTCCTTTTTTAAGAGTATGTTGCTATTCTGGGTTCCTTGCGTTCCCTGTGAATTTTAGAATCAGCCTGGCACTTTCTACAAGAAGTCCGCTGGAGTCTTCATAGGGGTTGCATCGAGTCTGGAGACCTGTATGAGGAGTGTCGCCACGGGAGCAAGACAGCATCTTCTGATTCGTGGG